CAAATCAATGTCACACATCTCTTGAAGGGTGCCAGATGGCTGAGGCCTGCAGCGATTGGTTATGTCAGCTGCCTAAACAATCCTTTTCCCAACATCCCGCATCCAGCCCCTCACCTTGTAGAAATCCAGCAATTTCCTAAAAATCCTGATACTTCTTCAGCTGCTGAAAGCTGAGATCAGGAGGAGCTGGAGGAGGCCCCTGACTAGGCACAGTTGAGGAAAGAAGAATGCTTCAACAGACGGTCTTTCCCTTTCATGCAGAATTGGAAGAACGGACCTGAATATCTTGGATTACAGGAGCCCCAGAGCCTGTGCTGTCCAGAAGTCTCCAATTAGCTTTATTCTACCTCCAGGCATTTTAATAGGAGAATTCCAAGTGGTTAATATTCTCCTGATAAGAAAACATATGGTCCCCAAATTTAATAGGAGTTATAATAAAATCATCATGTTTCTAAATACGTAATCCACAGAGAAGGACTTTAATTCCTGAAGACAGTCCAACGTTAGCTTTCTCAGGAACACTTACAGTGTAATTGAGCCTGGTTATTAAAGCAATAGGTGGTCTGCTTCCTTTCTCTTCACCGAAGGAAAAAACTGAACCACAATTCATAAACTCGTCTCTAGGCCCTTTAGAAACTGAAAAAAAAAAAAAATTGTTTCCAAGCAGGACAGTTTAGAGACGTTTGAGAAGCTTGCAAACCAAGGGATGGAATCTTCCTATCGGGAGCCTTCAAGAGGAAGATCTCTGTGCTGGGCCCTTAGGCCTAACCGCTGGTAGCAAGTCTGCATTGAGGTGTGAGTATCTCGCAGCTGCAGAGAGGCCATGGGGGCCTGGAGACCACAACTGCTTTGCAAAGGTCACATGACCTGCATCTGGGGAAACTGCGATTCAAGGAGGGATCCCTCAGTCCCCGGCCCCCCAAGCTGCCCTCAGGGCCGAGCAGTGATGAACCGGGCAGCACCTCCCAATCCTTTGCCAACATCACAGATTACCACCTTTTTCTTTCTTATATCAGTATACACTGAATGCTCAAAAATGGATCTGAAAAAAAGAAATGAACCTGTAAAAACTGCCCTTGTTCTCAGTGCTGGCAAGTCCTCAGCATTATGGGGGAGTTGTTTTAAAAGCGCCGTGTGGCCTTGGGCAAAGGCACACCAGCTCCCCGCCACGGTTCTGTCATCTGCGCAATTAAGATAATAACATCCACTCCCTGGTTGCTGGGAGGATCGAATGAAAACATAGATGTAAAAGAATTTAGCACCTGGTCAGTGTTTAATAATTGTAGGTCCTCTTATTTCCCGCAATAAATATTTTTGAATAAATGGTACTTTAACAAGAACATAGCTATTGAAAATGCCCCTTGTGCTTGGTGCTGAACCGAGTGTGCAGTGAGTCGCCCCACATCCTGGGTGGCGGCTACGACTTTTACAGGAGAGAACACAGGCCCAAGGCGGGTAAATGATTTATTTGCCCAACGTTACACAGGCTGTGGGAGGGCTGGGATTTGAACCCCCACACACTGAATTCCGAGGGCATACATTTAACTAGCTCGCTACCCTACACTCCAGGAAGTGAGAATCAATAGACATTTCATGTGGCTGAAGGTGATGACTTGCTTTTGCTCTCTTGATCCCCACCCCAGTCCCTTCCTGGAAAAGGAATGATGTACGATGTATGGGAGTCGCCCGCACTCAGGAAGCTTCATCGATTTCTTTCACTATGTGGTTGCAACTTGGCCTGCTCCTCATGAACCCTCAACAGCGAGCCTCATGAGGCCACCAAAGCAAGTGGCAGATGTGGTGTTCCTAAAAGCTCTTTCTGTGCCCGATTCCTCCCCAGGGAAGGCCTTGCTCCACCAGCCGCAGGGTGACAAGAGGAATAAAAACTGTTGAGACCTGCCTCCACTGAGTCTCCTTCATTATGTGTTTGCTTCTTTATTTGCACCTCTTCTAAGAAAGGATTTGAGGTGGAACGTCTCATCGGAGATAACCACCAAAACATCCAGGTGAGAAAGGAATGCCGTGCCCATGGAATCAAGGGCATAGGTCCCAAGGATGCCTTGGGCTTCCGACAGAAGAGGCTTCCAGGAGGAGGTGCTTGGGGCACCTCTGAGCCAGCAGCAGGAGGAGGAACTGGAGCTGCAGGGCCCACACCAAGGGCCCCTGGCAAGGCCACTTTCTCTATTTTTTATCTGAATCTCCAAAGAAGGGAAGGCTCCAAGGAGAGAGGAGAAGACGTCCTCCTTGATGTCATTTCTTGTTATTAGGAAGCAGATTCTTCCGTCAGTTCTGAACCAATCGCCTGCTGAGAACAAAGACAACCAAACATGTCGTGGGCTACGGTGGGGTGGCTGGGTCTGCGGGACCGAGGGCGGGGCTGAGTGCAGGCCACGGGTACCTCTGTGCTCCAGAAGGGTTGCCATGGCAGCCGTCCATGTCCGATGTCTGGGGCTCCCCAGATTCTCGCGCCTAATATTTTCTGTACTCTGAGCTAGGTGTGGAAGGATCGAAAAGAAACATCACAAAGCCTGCCTTTAAAGAGTTCCCCGTGACTGGGGGAGGCAGGCACACACATGGATCATTTCAAAATGACATCCTATAGGATTCATGAACACTTTCTACCACTACCTAGCAAGCATCTGCTCTGTGCCAGGCACTGTGCAGCGTGCTGGGCATTCAGAGTAGCCATGAGCCTGGAGTCTAATGTCCGAGTCTAATGCTTAGGATGCAGTGAGAGCCCAGCGGAGGGCTTCTACCCAGACTGGACAATCCCCGAAAGGTTGCATGGAGATGACAAGACATAAGGGGAATGAAAGGGAGCTCCAATCAGAAGACAGAGAGTCACCGTGCACAGTGGCATAAAACATTTTGTACTAGGACACCACAAGGCTGGGTGTGTTTGGACTGCTTCTTACAGCGACTTTCAGATACATCCTCCAAAAAGCCCACCCGTCCACCTCCAGCGGTTTGTCCTTAGGATTGAACCAGGAGCCTGTGGAGCATGGGCTATAGCCGCTCCACAGGGAGGTGACAGGCCAAGCCAGACGCGGTCCCTGGGGGCTTTGAGGAAAATCACATAATTGGGTACATTCTCTCTTACGTATAGTCACTCTCTTCCACGTATCCTCCCATGGCAAATTCCCTGGAGAGGACCTCCCAACCCCGGCGTGCAGTCTCCGCTCATGGCGTGCTCATGGTTAATGGGGGTTCAGAGACCAACCCAGACGACGTGGTCATTGTGTACGTGGCAAGGGTGCAGCGCTGGGGATACTGCCCCCATGGGCCGAACATCTGTCCTCTCCCAGAACATCGTCAGGGTCCTCCTGCGTGCCAGGCTCACGGGGTCACACTCGGTCCTCACCCTAACTCTGTAAGGCCAGGGCGGTGGCCCCTGTTTTACTGGTGAGGAGCCTGAGGTTCAGATACCTTCATTAAGCGACCTTTCTGACCTGGCAGAGTCAAGCCGAGATTACAGCGGCATCCTTGGCCAACTCGCTTCCTGGGGCTCCCACACCGTCATCCTTGAGTGCAGGCCCTGCTCCGACAGGGGCTCTCAGTCCACAGAAACCCTCTCTGTCACCGCTTTTCTTTTCGTGGCACGTGTCTTCTGTGACAGGGCAGCACAGGCTTATTCATCATCTGCCCGTCTGCCCCGCTCCACAAGGCAAGGACCTTTCTTGACTCCTTTACTGCTCTTTCCGTGATGCTCCAAGCAGAGCCCGGTACATGGAAACCCCAACACAGGTTTCCTAGTGAACGAAGCCATCTGGCTGGCCCCTCCGCCAGCCCTCTGCACTCCACTCGTGTGGCTCAAGCTGGTGGCTAATGCCCAGTGGGTGGCTGCAGGCTGACCCACAAATGCAGGCCCGTCTGAGTTTCTCACGGGTGAGGGCAAGCAATTCCATAGATTGTCATTTCTACTTCAACCGAAGGACACGCTCCGGCAGCATTCTGTGTGACAAACATGTGAGAGTCCTCAAGTAATAGTTTCTGTTTCTTGGTGACTCGGATTCACTCTTCTTTCTGCCCACAAGTCGGCCTCGGGGTGGCGCAGGCGTCTGGACGCGCGTCCTTGCGGAGTGGGGGACGCTCGCCGTGGTCAGCCAGCGCTGTGCCCGGTGTCTGAATGCTGCCTTGATCTGGCTCTGACTTTCAGCCGCTGGGGCTGCTGCTTTAACCCATCCGTGTGCACACTCACGCTGAGTGTTCATTTCGGCTGATTGCTGTTTCATGTGGCACCATTTTAATTGTAACTGTGTTCCTCTCCAACGCTTTCTCGTCCCCAAATGGTTCCCACTAAGGAACAGTGAGGACCATCAGCCTACGCAAGCGGGTCACGGTCCTGGATATTTGGGAAAGAATCCTTGCACCCTACCTCATGACCTCACGTGGTCCTTGAGTGACTGTGCTGGTTTTTGTTTTATGACAAGACCCATCCGTTCCTGAAAACCACCACACTGGGCAAAAGAGGGGCAATGGGGCGAGGGGCACCACCCTCGAGAACATCAGTGACCATAAAAAAGCATGAAAGAAAGAAAGCATTTGGGCAGTTTTACACGGTTAAATAGCTAAATAAGTACTACAATGAGTGTGGCACTTTACCGGGAAGAGGCCTGGCCTTTGCCTGTGGGAGTGGACGCAGTAAGCGCTGCAGCCGGTGCATTGAGTGGGCGGCAGGAGGGTGGTCTGGGGCGGAAGAAGTAACCGCAGGTGCGGCAGGCGCAGCTCCCCGCACAGGTGGACCGCGTAGCTGGCAGGCGTTCGAGCTGTGTACACGTGCGCGTGTACACTCCTGAAGGGCTCGCTTCAGCAGGGCGCAGTTTCCTGCATTCACCTAGTATTTCTTGGGGAGGCAATGTTGTATAAGCAAAGGTGAAATTCCTGTTATCCTCAAATTATTCCCTAATGTAGCATTTGTGTTGGGACAAGTTCACATATTCTAGTGTCATAGCAGAACCGGCTGTATCTGACTTCCTTGGGCCCTGTCCTTGTCTACTCAGACTGGACCAAGAGAATCGAGTACCAGCCCGGCTCGGGGAGCGTGCCGCTGTTTCCCAGCATCCACCTGGAGACCTGCGACGGGGCCGTGTCCTCCATCCAGATCACCACGGAGCTGCAGACCAACTACATCGGGAAGGGGTGTGACCGGGAGACCTACTCTGAAAAGTCCCTGCAGAAGTTATGTGGTAAGTTTTTCCCTGTGGGGATTTTCTTTAATTAATTGCTTTTAAAAGATCTACACAAAGCATATCTCATATTATGAGAAAAGCGGTCCTCCCGCCGCAGTGGCACGTGGAACTCCTGGATGAATCGCGTTTATTTAGCAGGGCCGAAGGGTCAGAAGGCACAGCTTGTAGCATCAGGCACCCCTGATCAGACCCCCCATTTACCAAGTGTGTGGCTGTGCGCAAGTGAGGTGACACAGACTATTCTCTGTAAAACGGGGATTAACGACACAGTGTGTTTAAGAGCACCTGGCACAGGGCCTGGAAAAGCATGAGTTTCCCTCCACTGTGCTGGTTTATAGGGAGGCACCTGGCCAGACGCCAATATGAAGGGTGCTGTCAGTCATTTGGAGAGAGGTTAGTCTCCTCCCCACAGGACCAGCTACGCAATTTGCAGGGCCCAGTGCAAATGAAAATGCGGGACCCTTGTTCAAAAAATCATGAAGGATTTTAATAATAAAATCACAAAGCATTAAACCAGGCTGGGGGCTCTGTGAGATTGCTCAGGCTGTAGGCCAGTAAAGCCTGGCCTAGCTGCCCACATCGGGGCAGGGGGCTTGGGTCAGGGGCGGGGGGCAAAGTGGAGGTGTCCAAGTGTGGGGGTCAGGGGGCCTGTTGTCAGTGGGCTGTGAGAAAGTGCTGCAGGAAGGAGCAGGCCAGGAACCAGGAAGCAGGCTGAGGGAGGGTGCTACGCAAGCAAACTTAGCTTTATTGAGCACCTACTATGTGCAGCCTGCCAGACTCTTCTCATGCATTGCTTTAGTTCATTCTCTCATCTTCACTGCGAAAAGGGTGTTATTCACCCAACTTTAAAGAGGGAAAATTTGAGGCCCAGAGAGGAAACATGACTTGTTCAAGGTCACACAGACAGAAAGAGCCAGAATGTGAAGATAGGTCTATCAGAAGGAAAGTCTCTTTAGCTCAGTATCTGTGGTGTGGGGCCAGGCCTTGGGCACTAGACCGTGAGTGTGTACAGTCAGCCTGTAGACCCAGAGGATGCTCGGTGTGGTGGGAATGGCCCCATACACATGGTCAGCAAGACTATTGATGTGCTGATGGGCCTCCATCCCCACGGAATATATTTTATTTCTTCTTTGTTCTCTTCAGAAACACTCAGGAACTTGCACCTGACTCTGCAGCAGTGCTTGGGGAGTTAAGGCTCACCCTGGGCCTGTATTTGGGGGGACTACATTTCCACAGAGGGAAACGGGGCTCCTGAACACAGTCCAGCCTGCCATCCCCTCCTGGAGGTCCCTCCACCACTGTCTTGGGAACATTTCCTCCACGCACACACACACTCATCCGCACTGCTGGTGGCCCAAAGAACCGAATGAAACTCTGGGATGCAGTGTGAAACGAACCCTGCGTAGGCATCACCGTGTTCCATCTGCTGTGTCACCGGGCCAGCGAGGAGGGCCCGGGGGGAAGCAGACTTCTCCAGAATGAGCAGGGAATTCGCCATGCCGTCAGTATCCCAAGCAGCCCTTGCTGAAATGGATACGAGGGGCCCGCAATGTTCAGAAAACTGCCTGCGGTCCTGTCCCCGACTCTGCGTGCAGAGAAGCCGTCCCAGAGGACATCTTACTTTGAATGACTCTCCCATTCCCCTCCCCGTGCACCTAAATTATCACCTAGATTATGAGTCCACTGGACTCCACGCCACCCGGGGTTACAGTCATTTCCTAAACTCCTCCAGGTTCCAAGGAGATGATGGAATCTGCTTGTTAACGATCAGATGGGCCCAAGGGCACACGCTTGCGATTTGATTTTGAATGTTGCTGGGAGCGATGAGGAGATATGGAGAGTGAGAAGGATTTTCTGAGGGAGGAAACTTGAGAACAAAATCACATTAGGTGTTAACGGAGCTCATTCCTCTGGGCTGCCAGCTCGCCTGGCAGGGGGCAGGTTAATTCAGTCGGGAAAGCAGTCTCCCCAGGGGCGTGCAAGATTACCCGGTACTCAGAGAGACGCTTTTTGGAGAGACATCTGTGTGTCTTCCCGGAGACCTTCCCGAGAGTGCCACGCTCCGTACAGATGGGTACTCTGTCTGAGCAGCCCCGATGGGCAGGGCCGGAGACATGCCGGGTCTGAATCTTGATTCCAGGGGCAAGGGGAAGCAGGCTGGGGCTTCTCAGAGGGGCCTGGGGTGTATCCTGACTCCTGTGGGGACCTGCAGCCTGGAGAGAGGCTTCTGTGTGCTCTCAGTGGGTGGGAGGCAAGCTTCTCGTGGGGTTTCTCAACCAGGGAACTGCCGTGGCCCTTTAAACCTCAGCATCGTGCGTTTTTTTATTCTACAAATCTTTATTGACTTCGGGTGGAAACAGGGAGACCAATTAAGATGTTATGGCTATGGTCTACGAAAGAGATAATGACTTCTGAACCTAGGGAGGGGCAGTTGGGATGAATTTAAGACGGTGGGGAGGCAGAATGGCCAGGCTGAATGATTCGTGAGCTGTCAGGACAGAGAAAGAAGGATCTAAGATGACTCCAGGATGAGCATCTAGCTGGACGAGGGTGTTTCCAGTGAGAACTGGGAACCCAGGGCAAGAGCAGAGTTAGGGAGCAATGGTGACCGTCACCTGTGGAGTATCCAGGTGTGCGTGCCCAACCCTAGCCTTACCCCGACCCTCCCGAAGACCTGCCTGCACCCTGCCCACCGTCTCATAGCGCATTTCCTCCTGATGCCCCGCCTCTTCCTGGCTTTCATCATCCCCGTGGCCAGCTCGTTCTCATCCCTAAGCCTTCGTTCATTCCCCCTTCCTGCTGGGACACTCGCTGTCCCCTTCATCACTCCAAACCCTTCGCTTTAGTCAATACTCACCTGCCACCTGTGCCCACGGGGGTGGCAGTCCTGGGTGCTTCCTGGGTGTCTTTGAATTCTGCCACCTCTCTGTGCTGCTGCAGTTGTGCAGCGACCCAGACAGGGTGTCCGCATAGGGGCGTGTGGACGCCTGGTCATTGCCCACCCGCGTCCTCCTCCTGCAACATCAGCTCCAGGAGGAGCAGTGACGGAGCCATTCAGGGCGGTCAGACAGCAGCGGGCACCCGGCCTGCTGTCAGGAAGCACCTGCCAGGTGCGGCAGCGCCGGAAATAGCCTCTTCGACTCCAGTGAGGTGCTGGGTGGCGGACACTTCCCCTCCGCCTTGAAGTAAAAACAGTCGGGGTCCCCTGAACCTGTGTCCCCTTCAGTGTGTGGGGCCGGTCGTGGCCCAAGAAGGCCCCCTACTGCCCTTGCTTTCCAAAAAGCCAGGCTTCCCGGAGAAGTTGGACACACTGCTTGTCATTTCCTCTGAAGTCAGAGATTTCAGATGAAGGTCTCTGCCATCCCGACACCTGGCTCTCCAGAGGCGCATGTCACAGCTCCCCTGAGTATGAAAGGCGTGGTGAAACCCCGGTAAGACCTCTTGGCCAAATTAAATTTGACATTAACAACAGCCCCGGAAAAGGCCGGCCTCGATGACCTTGCGTCACTACGTATCAGAGTAAACAGAAAAGTAGTTGTGAGGCACATGCCTGCAGGGCCCAGAGGCAGGGCTGCTCCTCCTCAGGATCACAGGGCTCCCGGCGCGCCGCCCGTCGGCTGTTTGTACGGGAGGCGTGACCTGCGAGGACAGGTCCCGTCGCAGGAAAGGCCACAGAAGAAGAGCTATTACATGAAGTGATGGGTCTGTCAGAGCAGCTCAGATCACCGGGCAGTAAGTTGTTCTCAGAATGCATGCACTTGTGAGCTAGGAGGTTGTAGAGAGGATTCATTCATTCACTTATTCATTTGTGTATTTGTTAATTCAACAAATATTTGTGGAGTGTCCAAAGGCTGTAACTCTTGGGGATCTATAGAACGCAAGAAGACCAGTCTCCTGGGGAGACAGACATGTTGAAAAAGTTAAGTGCCTGGTTTTCTACTACACCTTACAGCGTTACAGAGCTGTCCTCACCGAGAATCGCTGACAGTTGTACACCCTCAGAATAGCCCAACTACAGGAAGCTATTGTCAGTTTCTCCGACACAGCCCTCCAGAGCCGGAGCTTCCGGGAGACGGCATCTGTCCCCGAGGCCCAGCCAGAGCTTCCACTCCCAGAGAACCGAAGTGGCCTCTTCCTTTAAGGAAAAGTGGCGCATGCCTGTTGGGAGTCAGATTAAACCATTAATCATACACCAGCAAAGAGCTGAACACACTGACTCATGGATGACGACAGTGAGCAGTGAGCTCCTCTCTGGATATGCCTGTTTCTTTGCTTTTTAAGCAGCTACCATGCAGCATGCCCTCCTATCCTGGGGAGGAGGTTTGTGCCAACAATGACCGTGCCCAGGCTGATCAGCCACTGGTTATGTCTGGTCCTACCCCAGGAACCTGGCTGACCACCCCTCATCCAAAGCCTGGCTTGCTTCACCGAGAGATCCAAGTTTTTGTTTTCAAGGCCTTAGGCTACAAGTCTAAGTGGTTCTCAACCTTCCTAATGCCGCGGCCCTTTAATACAGTTCCTCCTGTTGTATGTGAGCATATCTGCATGTGGGTGGACCCGCCTGGAGATGGATAGAGGAGCGGTGTCTCGGTTCCTAAGATGATTGGAAATATGTGTTTTCCAATGGTCTTAGTCAACCCCTGTGAAAGGGTCGTTGGACCCCCAGGGGTCATGACCCACAGGTTGAGAACTGCTGCCTTCGAGAAACCCCTCTTGTCTAGGATTCCAGAAATAGAACGATAGTCTGATGACAGGAACAATAGGGTTTGAGCTTCTGAAAGGACATCGAAGAGTCCTCTGTGTCCGCGCAGAAGGTGTGCCGAAGGAGAAATGGGGATCACAGCAGCGGATGTCAATCACTTACGTGGATCAGCGGTCAGGATGGCAGGTTATGCTGCAGTAACAGATGACCCCGAAGTCTCTTTGGCTTAAGATAACAAAGGTTTATCTATCGCTTCTGCCACACGTCCTTCCTGGACAGACTGTGGCTCTGCTCCCTGTTGCCTTCCCACTGGGGTCAGGCTGACACATTGTTGCTCCCGTGGCACGTGGGGGAGTCGTGGAGAACCGTGGGCTGCCTCTGAAGGGTTCTGCCCTGATGTGATACATGTCACTTGCTCTCACATTTCATTGGTCAGAGCAAGTCACACGCCTGGTGACATCAGTGGGGCAGAGAAGCATGTTGAGGCGGGATGCCCTCTACCACCTGTCAGTCCCAGTAGGCGTTGGTCAAGAGCGCCACCCTGCTTCCCTTGAGACTCTCCGCACGGGACTGCCCCCCCCACCCAAAGGAAAGACTCCCTGCTGGCCCAGAGGCAGGGCCCACGTCTAGTGCAGCGCTGCTCGCTCACCGCAGTCCCTGGCGCGACTTGGACGCGACACACTTACTGGAGTAACATGGAGACGACAGTGCCAGCTGTGAGAATGCTCTGTAGAATGAGGCGTCTGCCCTGATCACAGTGGTCTCCTCCCCGAGACCCTCGTGCTGTGGTGGACCATGAGGAGGCACGTCAGTCCCCATCGCCACAGTCCCTCCCGAAAGCGCTAAGGACCCTCTACCCTCACAGGACCACCAGAGCAGAGTGCAAACCCTGCAATTAAGAAGTCCAGATGGTGACAACCGCCCCCAGGCTCATGTGGGTTCTCACTCCACAGTGTACTCTGAAATCTGCCTCATCCACCCCCATCTTTATCTCTTTGCTGGCTCAGAAAGGCTTCCCTACCCTGAGAGGGCTCAGGGACCTTGAATCAGACCTCACCTCTGACGCCCCCCACCGCCACATTCACGCCGCAGCTGCTGTGCCCCACACCACTGTGACCCCTCAGCAGCCTGGTGGAGGTGTCCCAAGGAGCATCTTAAATACACCGTCACGTGCAGACGATGTCATACCATCTTTGCAAGTGATGCATCTGTTTACCCACGGCTGTCCGTGGAATCCCTTGGGAAGGGGAGAGAGGTAACAACTTTGGGGGAAGGCAAATCTCTCTATTTGTTTAAGTGCACCAAGAAATGAAATACAAGCTGTTGAGATTGGGGAAATGTGCACCATCTGGTAAAATGCAGCTCGAGGCTTCCTTCCCGGTAGGGAACATCTGGGGATGAGGCAGGGTGGCCTGCTGCTCCCTCGCCAGGGAAGACAAGGGAGCTCCGCTCTGATGGCTTTGCCAGGTCACACGCTGTCTTCTCATGCCTTCTGTAGACGGCGGCCTGTGCGGGGAGCCGGGTCCCCGGGGACCAGGCTGTGCTTGGCAGGACACTCTACGTGTGGTGGAAAGGACATTAGCTAGGCGTCTGAGAGCTGGCCTCTGGCAGCTGCGTGGCTGTGTGAGCTTGGCCGTTTCCCCTCCCGGGCCTGTTTCCATGTGTGTAAAATGTGCAGGAGGATACAGGGTTCCTCTCCAGGTTCGTTAGGTAGTGCGATAGGGAGGTGTAAGGGGAGAGGAAAGAACTGGAAAGCCTGAAGGTGGGCCCACTCCCCGGCTTGTGACCCTGGGCTCACTGAGCTGCAGGTTTCTGACCTGCAAACTGGAAACATAATGGCTTTCTCCATATAGGAACTAAGGAACTAAGGAAAGTACTGAAGTACCTAATTCTGGTCTGGCGCTCAGTGCTCCCCAAAAAGTCCCTAGGAAAATAATAAAAAAGACCTGTAACTATGAAAAATAAAGTTCTATACATATAGGATATATGTATAGAGTAACTCTGACCAGGGTTGGCCTTTGACAAATGCAACCACTTTTGCCTCCCGATGTCTTTATGTCTCCCCCATCAGCCCACACTTGGACTTGCATTATACCTCTCTCCCTCTGTACAAACCTGTTTGGGCGGGGGGGTGGATTACAAGTTGCCCCTTCACTAGTCTAAGGTGCTAATTGTGGTGAGAATTCTACAGGAACATTTGCTTAATACCAGCAAGGCCCTTAACCAAAAAGGAGCCAGGGGCCATGGGCCTGGCCCACACGGCTCTACGAGGGGCCCTACCCAATGGCGTTGGCTGCATTGGCTTGAGCTAGAATCAGAGCCCTGAGTGCTCAGCCTGCGTCTCCCTGGCTGCCTGAAGTTTCAGGAACCACACATACTCTGCGTGTGCCCCAGTCACCAGGCCATCTTCATGCTGGACACATGCTGATGTCAGAGCCGGCTTAATTATGGATCAAAGACACTGCTGCCATGTTGCATCATTCTGAGAATTCTAAGAAAATGAACTTGTTCCCAATACCTTGTATCCCTAACTCTGAATCCACCCAAAGTCTTTGCCTGCTACCATCTTGGTAGATTTCTTTCATTCAAATGGCTCTGGAGTATGATCATGCTTAAGGCTTTGTTAGTCATTGAGACATTAGTCTGAACTGACTTACCAGATAGGTAAAATAGGTACCAAAGGAGGCTGTAGGGGAATGGGATGAGAACATATTGAGAGGTGTGGGCACAGACCAGAGGCTGGATGCACAGGCTCACATGGCATTGGGTAGAGGGCCAGAGCATCTCGTGGAGGCTCTAGATGGGAAGAAAGGCAGTTACACACATTAATGGGGCGTCTACTGTGTCAGACATAGCACCAACCAAACCTCTCAGAAATATGCATGGAAATAATGCAGTCTATGCTGCCCACATTTGTCCCTGATACGCATAAACCACAAGGTGATCACGAATTGGGAGACCAACCTCCTCCTCCCTCTCAGACCCTGCAGCTCCTAGAGGCCTCTCCAAGGTGAACCTCTCACGGTGCTAAACAGCATATTTTTCACATAGCATAACCTTTGATTGCAAGCCAGTGGATGCTCAGCCTTAGACCCGATCATCTGTTCCAAGGCTGGAGGCTAAACTAGCTGGGTTGAACATTTTCAAAGATGTATATTAGTTCCAATATGGCAGTTTACTGAGGATTTTCAAGGGTCATTTTAACTAGAGGAGATATTTGTGGTGGCTGACTTTGGAATCCAATCCCTAGCTGAGATGCAGCTCTGATATACAGAATTAAGAAGTCCAGTGATCTCTGACAAATGGCAGGTAATACACCAAACTACCGTCCATTAAACCCACCATCATTTACAACCGACCGGTCAGTCCCGAGCCAGGAGAGAGCACCCATACCTATGGCCCCAGTACCGTGCACACTTTACACTCCCTGACTTGTATCTTCTAACAGTGTCAGGAAGCCCCGGCCCCCCTCCTCCCCTGAGTAGCTGGGCCTTGGCCCCGTATGGAACGAAAGGATGTGGAGAATATCAGGACACAGCAGCTTCAGTGGGAAGCCAGTGGAGGCCCAAGGATTTCCCAGCCAGGGCATCCAGTCTTCTCTGCAAGGCCAGCCCCTCCCACTGGCCTCAGTTCTTTCGACCCTGCACAAAGTTGCAGGTGTGATCCTCCTAAGACACAAATCTGCCCATGACACTCCCATGGCTTCAGGTTAAGTCCCCATGCATTAGTCTGGAATCACAGTGGTAACAGAAATAGCAATGATGATGATGAAGAAGTTGCAGCTAACACGGAGTGAGCACTCACCTTGTGGTGAGCATGCTGCTGCAACTCCAACGCAATTTTTTATCCTCACAACACCCTGGGAAGGGAGATAGTAGCAAAGGAGAAGCAACGTCAGAAAGGTTAAGTGATTTTGCGCACAGTAACAAGGCTACAAGTCATGCTGCTCAGTATCAGGTTCAAGTTTGGCTGACTTCAGAACTCAGCCACTGTACCATTTGGCCTAAACAAATGGTTGTTTAAAGAAAAAAAAAGTGTGATGAGTACAAAGTGGCTTACACTCCTCATGAGATCAGGACCTAGAACTTTCCCCCATCACAGCCCTGATCACACGTGTCATCGTTGTCTGTGGACTTATGGGCTCTGAGCTCCTGCAGGTCAGGGACTGCAGCTTCTCCGTTACATCACCAGCACCTGCCAGGGGTCAGGGCCCCTTGTCAGTGCTCAGTAAATGGCAGACAGGTTAATGGCTGGAGGAGTGCATGAGTGAATCCATCGACCCCAGTCGCACCCTGGCCTTCTCCAGGAACCTTGCCTGCTTATAAAAGCCCCCAGGGGAATCCTGTTTTCCTAAATTACTCCAGCACCTTTCCTTTGTATAACAGTTCACTGCGTTCTTGTCTTGCCACATGCAACGCTGTCCTGTGTAAGTTACTGATGCCCCCCCGAGAGGACCACAGCATTTCAGGAACACGAATGGCGTTTGGCCCTTTGTTATCCAGGTCACCTAGCTCAGGGCTGGGACAGACTTCCGAGTAAGTACAATGAGTACAGCTGGCCCTTGAACACTGTGGGGGGTTGGGGTGCTGACCCCTAGCACACTCAAAAATTCATGTATAACTTTTGACTCCCCAAAAACTTAACTGCTGCTAACCCACTGCTGACTGGAAGCCTGACCAATAGCATAAACAGTTGATTAACTCCTCCTTTGCGTGTTGTATGCATCAGCACTGTGTTCTCGCAATAAAGTAAGCTAGCGAAAAGAAAATGTTATTAAGACAATCATAAGGAAAAGAAGATATATTTATAGAGTTTATTGGAAAAGGTCCACATATAAGTGGCCCCACGCAGTTCACATCAGTAGTGTTCAAGGGTCAACTGGTTTATCCGACCTAGGAGCAGACAACAGGGCCCAGGCCACCCACCCCGTGAGGAATGACCTTTGCTCTTCCTGTCCCCGCCCCCGCAGGAGCCTCCTCCGGCATCATCGACCTCTTGCCGTCCCCCAGCGCTGCCATGAACTGGACGGCAGGACTGCTGGTGGACAGCAGCGAGATGATCTTCAAGTTTGACGGCAGGCAGGGTGCCAAGATCCCTGATGGGATTGTGCCCAAGAACCTGACAGACCAGTTCACCATCACCATGTGGATGAAACACGGCCCCAGCCCTGGCGTGAGAGCCGAGAAGGAAACCATCCTCTGCAACTCAGATAAAACCGGTGAGTCTCGAGCGAGCGCAGCCCTCCGCTGGCTGCCCGTGAGGTCCCGCGGCTGGGCAGAGACACAGCCGCAAAAAAGCAGGATCATGACAGGGGCCCCGGGGAAAGAGTCTGCTCTCTGGTTTTCTGGCTGCTGATTCGTGGGTTTGGGGTAGAGCAGGACCAGGAAAAGGGAAAGTGGATGTACAGACACACAGAAGGCCAAAGCGGGTTCTGGGGTTGGTGGTTTTAAACTGGGGTTTCCAGAGCCCTAGCCCACCAGAAGGAACGGAGTGGTTACACGTGACACGAGTACATCAAGCAAAGCAGCTCCACCTTCATTATATTATGTACAGGGGTTAGCAAAAGTAGGTTTACAGTTGTGAGTACATGAAACAGAGCTAATCAAGCTATTGTAATAATCATAACCTGCACATCTTTTTCCATACAGTCTTTTTATATAGTCTTTTTCCATATAGTCTTTTTATGACTATAAACCTACTTTTGCCCACCCCTGTATAGTATGACACAAAGTTTGTTTTCAATGAAAGGGCCCTGCTGGTCTAGTTTAAAGTAATAGTTTGCGTATCGGCGCCATACCTAATAGCGAGAGCTGACGTGGGTTAGGCGTTTCAGCACGGCCCTGTGCAAGCCAGTTCGCAGCTTGGTGGTGCAAAGCTCTCCACCACTTACAGGTTATGTGACCTTGGGCACTCTTTTTAACCCCTCTGTGCCTCACTTCCCTGTCTATAAAATGGGCATTACAGTTTTATCTACCCTGCAGGGTTTGGGGAGGGCAGCACGGGCGTGGAGGGGTGCAGTCTGCGTGAGCTACTACTCTTCCAACCAGCGTCTCACCTTCCACGGACGGTTTTCTACAAGCATTGTTGTGTGTCCCAAAGAATAAGGAAACATTCCCTGACAGGCCAAGAGACTTGTCCCGAATATACAACCAAAAGTATCAGAACTGGGACATACGCTTAGAGTTGGCTAATTCCAACCCTGTGCCCTTGTCGCTGCCCCCCCCACACACATACTGATATCGTCGGCACATTTTATAAGTCCACCTTAAAGCGTAATTTCACAATGTCCCATTTCCAATGCTACTTTGGTAAATTATCCAAAACAAATAACCACAGCAATGAGAAGACAGTGGAGAAGAAGGGCTCACAGCCCAGCCTCTGCTGACGGACAGCTCAAGCGTGTAAGGTGTGACCTTTGAGGAGCTGATAATCTCCCTGAGCCTCAGCTTCCCCAAATGCAAAATGGAGAAAATAAACATGAAACAACGTGTGAAATCACTAGCAGCACCAGATACATAATCAGTGTTTCATTAATCTACCTGATGTTGTTGTTATCATTATTGTCAGGACCACCTCTGGCTTTATTCTACATTATGCTGCTAACAGAGCCCCATATTTCCTGTTCCAAAATCAAACTTTACAATAAATGTTCATGCATTTTCTGGATAGAGAAACTGAGACAGAGAGAGTTGCCCAGCATCCCCTCGTCACATGGTATGTCTATGTCGGAGCCAGTGCCAGGCACCATTTTCCTAGGACCTTCCTGCAATAAGGATCCTGCACATCTGCATGAGGTGGCATCGAGGTTCAGCACCAGGGTCAGAGTGCAGCCCACAGTCCTAGTAACTGCCCTGGAGGAACCCCCCAGTGCCTGGTGGGGCGCTCCATTGTGCTCCAGCAGCCGGTCAATGAGACAAGGCTTGGGAGTGTGTATAGGAATGCAAAGCAACATGAACTGGGTTAGTGGCCACACAATGCAGTCCTTGGCGAAATGGATCAAATACCCCTGGGAGGCAGGTCAGACAGATATTAATATTCCTGCTTCAAGAGAAGAAATTAGAATATGAAAGGTTAAGCTACTAGCCCAGCATAACAGCTGATTGCCAAGAAAAACAGGCTTGGACCTAAGTCCTCTGGCCATGCATTTCAGACCCACAGGATTGCATTCAGACCCAGGCTCAACCCTGCTACACACCAGAATAACCTAGCGCACTTTTAAAAATATGTAATATCAGGACCCTACCCCAGCTCAATAAGTCAGAGTTTCGGGGGGTCCTTTTGGGTAGCTATGGCTGAAAACTGCATTGAGATGCCGCGTCAGTTTCATCAGAGCAGCCCACCACCAGGCATCCCGGCGCCCCGAACCAGCAAGCCCTGGAGCTGCTCAGCTTGGCCTCGGTGCATAACGGCACCTTAGTTCAAGATTGGTACAAAGAATTCATATGCAGAGCTCATGGACACGGACAATAGTGTGGTGAAGGCCTGGGGTGGGGTGGGGGCTGGGTAGGGAGGGGCCAAGGGGGTGGGAAATGGGGGACATCTGTAATACTGTCAACAATAAAAAATAAATTTAAAAGAAATTGGCACAAAGAAAACGGGGAAGATTTTTCTCTAACTTGAAAATAAATTTACAACTACCACCTTGCCCTAAATTGAAAAATATCTGGAATAAATTAAGCTTTGTTAGGGCCTTTATATATCAGAAACATTTTTTTCAAATAATAAAAACCACATATTTATTATAGCAGAAAACATAAAAAACAGAGAAAAGTATAAAAGAGAAGACACAAATCACATAAAACACTAACAGAGATATTTTCTGACAGCATTTGGTATATTTCATTACCAAATCTTGTATTTCTTTGTATATGTCCTTATAGTTTTTAATCTGTTTTATAATACATGTAATGTTATTGTCATCTGTTGCTTTTATATAACATTATATCCACAACATTTCTCTATGTGATAGAATATTCTTTAAAAATATGGATTACACGGCAGTCTAAAATTCTGTCATGTGGCTTTATTATACTTCATTTGACTGTCTCGCCTTTGTTAGATTATTGAGATTGTCGTCTTTTATTTATTTTTTTAAGATTTTTTTTATTGGTTTTTAGAGCAAAGGAAAGGGAGAGGGACATAGAGAGAAACATTGATATGAGTGAAACATAGATGGGCTGCCTCCTGCACACCCCGCCCGGGCATGTGCCCTGAGAGGGAATAGAACTGGCAACCCGTTGGTGCAGTAGACAATACACCGAACCACACAGGCCAGGGCTAGATTGTCTTCTTTTAAATGCAAATAAAGCAAGGCTACAGTGAGCATTCTTGTATATATCCTCATGGATATTTCGGATATTGTCTGATCGGAAGTTGAATTACTAAGTCAAAGAACATAGGTAAATTGCCAAAATACCCTTCATGAAGATTGTTCTAGTTTCTGTCTCATCCACTAAGTAAAGCTTACTACTGCTGAAGTAACTTATAAATAATTGGATAGCAGAATTGATTAGTCAGTGTGGGCTAACTGTAGTTTTTAAGAAGTAAGAAAGCCACTGTCACCACTGACAACAGAATAACATCTCAGTGGCTAACACTCTTTCATCTCAGTTCCCCTCATGTCAGTGTCCAGACATCCTAAGTGGGCAGGGGGATGAGGACGCTCCCCTAACCTACATGTTCAGGGGCCCAGGTTCCTTCCACTGTTTGGTGCTGCCGTTTTGAACCACAGAACAGAAAGTCAGCATAGAGGAGAGCAAGGAAACATTTAATTGGCTAGACCGGAAAGCGACATGTCTCACTGCCACTCGCATTCCATTGGCCAGAGTTCGGTCACATGGCCTCACCTAACCACAGGGGAAGCTGTGAATTGAGTTTAGTTGTGTGTCTGGGAGCAAAGGAAACACGGTTAGACGAACACATCGCAATGTCTCTACCAAGAAGATATTCTGTGGGAGCAATTGTGCCCCCTTCAAGCTCACCTTTGTCGGCCCTTAACTTTCCCTTCTGGTGTGAGCAAAGCTCTTTCCTACAGTCTCAGTAGCTCCTCTCCCTGCACACCTCTGCGCCTCCGGCCAGGAACCCCTCTTCCTGGCATGCAGCCCTCTTGCTCTCCCTGAGTTTCAACTGAGAGCAATGAATGATAAGTGGCCACTCACAGTGCCACTTCCCTACAGGGCTTTCCAAGAGAGAGGGGCCGGCTGCTCAGCAATCAGGTGAGAGAGGCAGCTGCTGGCCTGGAATAGAGTGCCAAGGCGGTCCTCCTGCCTTCCGGGAGAGAGAAGGGGTGCTCCCATACTTTCAGAGATGCCCAGAAAACCATCCAGAGGTTGAGGTCATCTGCTATAGAGAGGAGGTGACACTTTCATTTCCAGTGGCCTGCTGGCTGAGCTGCAAACACTATTCTGTCTGCTCTAGGCTGGTGTTGGAGGAGAGACATGAGGTCTGGGGAAGTTTGACTCATTTCCCCAGAAGTTTCGGGTGTATGGAACCTGGAGCCTCCTGCCCAGTGGGTCTGAAAGCAAGATGCTGATGGGGTGCCTCAATGGGGGGGGGGGAGATGAGGAGAGATGGGTAGCAGAGGAGCAAGTGCCCTACTACAACTTGTCAGGGCACAGGTGCTTTTGTTCTTCTTGTGGACCATGTAGGTATCCAGAAATGGGCAAGGCTAGAGCCAAGAGGGCTGCATGCCTGGAAGACAGGATGTCAGCAGGAGGAGCAGGTGCGGGGGGAGGGAGAAGTTCCAGAGCAAGGGCAGGAGTCGAGACGAATCATGAAAGGTCAGTGGGAAAGAGCATTACTCACACCAGGAATGGAGAGGTAAGGGCCCAGGAAGGTGGGACTGAAGCTGGTACAACTGGCCCAGCCATCAAGAAAGGGACTGTGTCACTTATCAGATCAATTTCTATATAAAGATTATAACAGGTCAATTCTTATTGAGAATGTCAGGGGTGAAGGTGGTGGGGGAAGGAAAGAGCTGGAAACATATTTTACCAGGGCCCAAACCCACTTTATTGGCCATGGATATCATGTGAAGGTCTCTTCAGGGCTCCTCCAAAAACCAGTCAGTGTGTCCATGAAGGAACCCATCTATAGACACCTGCATGACAAAGGACATTTGACATCCATGAGAAATGACAGATTCCACTGGCCCTTTAACGAGGCTTTCGACTTCATTCTTTTTCATCTGCCTTCCCTGCCTCCCACAATGACTGGGGCCAGGAGGAGGCTGGGGGACAGGGAAGTGGAGTGAGAAGAATGAGGGAACGGACCTTGCCCCTTTCTTTCCCCACTGTTGGTGACCAAGCCTCAGGTCAAGTCTGAGCGGAGGAGAGGGGAAACCCTTGTCATCAGGTGAGGGACTTACGCTTGGTTTGGAGAGAACCCTTTAAGACTACTTTAAAATCTGAAAGTGTCCAGAAGGCTTTAGGATCTGCCAGAGATGTGCACTGAGAGAAGGAAAGAGAGCTGCAAAAAGGAACACCAGAAGATGGGAAAGGAAATGAAGCCCATTTCTGAGTGTGTTATGTCAGCAGCCCATTGACTACATTGGGTCCCCTGGTGTGGATGGTGACTCTAGGAGCCCAGACAAATGAGGGAGGGAGGAGGGACAACCTCCTAGGCTGGAAGGTGCTCTAGACCTCTTTCATTCTCCTTGTTCTACCTCCTCACCCACACTGTCTCCTAACTCCAAATAAAACTAAAGGGGAAACTTTTTTTTCCCCCTGATATTTCTCAACAGAAGCTACAGGAAATCAGTTATGCAGTTGTGCGGGGGATAAGAAATATTCAGTAAAATCTCCATAACTCGGTCTGGGTGTTTTGCCAACCCAAGGCTCACCCAGATACTGGCCCAGACTACCCTTGCCACATTTGCTAACTGACCATTCACCTTCCTTCTATTCTTTGGTTGCATCATGAAGAATGAATATCCTTTTGTGAAAATAGCATCCGACACTACTTTTGTATGCTGCATGGTCACAAAGCAGTGTAATAGTCCTTATAATAACTAACAGTCATTGAGCATCTGTTCTGGGCTTTACATACTCTTTCTCATTGTATCCACTAAGATTCTTGCAGTTACAAGGAATGGAAAATACAGATCAAACTGATATGAGGTCATCAGAAAAACAAAGTAAAATAATAAGGGAAATGTAAAGTTCTTATAACTAAAATGTCCACAGACAAGACAGCTTCGGGCAAAGTGTGATCAAAGCCTGGCTCCTTTTCCCTGCAAGTTCTTAGCTCTGCCATCATAAGTGTATCAATTTCATGTTAGCAAATATGGATGCAGCAGTTCCAAGCCTCCCAGTCATAGACTACTATTTCTAGAGAGAAAGAGTCTCTTCTCTTTCCTTTCTGCCAAAAAAAGAAAGATAGTTAGGTAGTGCTTTCCCAGAACCTCTCAAAAAAGCTCATGGATCACTGACCTGAATTGAGGCATTGCCAATTCCTGAGAGAAGCCCCGTGGCCAGGAGAATGGCCTACACTACTGGACTTGGGCCTGAGCCCTGAACCCATCACTGTGGCAGGGGATTTGTACGAGCCTGTTTGGCCAGGACCAATCAGAGCCCATTTCTAGAAGTGAGGTTGGTGTTGATTCCTCCCACTCAAGCCACAAGGGCAATGTTTGTGCAGGACGTGCAAGAATCAACCACAATATCCTATTCTCATGATAGGATAGGATCCTGTTCCCTTGGATTGGGATAGTCCAGCATCACTGTCATGATACAGTTAAGGAAACACAGGCTCTGAAAGGCTAAATCACCCTCCCAGCATCACCCAAAGATACAGCTCCACCCAAAGTCTATCTGAATCTAGGGCCCATGCTGTTCCCATTATACCAGCTCACTCACCCATCAGCATGTGCCTTGTGGAAGATTTCTGTGTGGGCTACTATATCATACATGCAAGTTCTCTGAGTACTGGTCTCAAGACTCCTCCCCACCTAAAGGCTGTTATCTGGCCCTATGGGACATCATGGCTGGGATCCAAGACGTGAAATTTCCTCAGCAGGAAAGAAAGTTTTTATATCAAAGAAGGGAAAAGAGCCCTGGCCGGTTTGGCTCAGTGGTTAGAGCGTCAGGCTGCGGTCCAGAGAGACCCGGGTTCAGTTCCCGCTCAGGGCACGTACCTCAGTTGCAGTTTGTCCCCAGCCCGGGTTAGGGTCATGTGGGTGGCAGCCAGTTGATGTGTTTCTCTCACGTCAATGTTTCTTTCTCTCTCTTCTTCCCTCTCTCCCTCCCGTTCTATCTGAAGATAAATGCAAAAATGTCCTCAGGTGAGGATAATAAAAAAAAAAAAAGGGAAAAGACCCATCCATTGTCTGTGAATGGAGGAGAGAGGTTTGGAAAGTCACAGAACTATGTAATGTGCAAAATCAGTCCGACCCCTCCTCCTGACGCAGCTAAAAGTGATGCGGCTCCCTCCCTGCGCAGAGATCAGAGCGGGTGCGTTGGTGGTCCCCTCCCCCAGCCTGATGAAATGAGTCCAGAACTCGAGAGAAACCAGCTATGCCAAGGATCCCGGTGTGAAGAGTGTGATTGTCGAGTGCTCCCTTAACTCTCCCAGAAGTATTTACACAAAAAATAAAACCTTGTTAACCCAGGTAGATTTCCTCTAGGGTCTGATACAGTATCCGAGCATAGGTCAGGTTGGTATTTAAAGCCCAAATGGCATCTCCACAGAAGTTTTGCTGTGGGCTTTCTTGAATCTTCCCCTTGCAGTTCAGTGAACTCCACCATGTGTGTTCTAGAACATTCCTCAGAAGCGATTGTAAAAGAGAAACTGGAATGCCAGTGACCTGGGAGGTGTGCTAAATTATGAGCGGGAAGACTGTTCTGCTGAGACTGACACTGAGTTGGGGAGTCTCACCCCCAAATCCTCCTTCTGTTTCCAGAAATGAACCGGCATCACTACGCCCTGTACGTGCACAACTGCCGCCTGGTGTTCCTCCTGCGGAAGGACTTTGACCAGGCCGACACCTTCCGGCCCGCAGAGTTCCACTGGAAGCTGGACCAGGTAGGCACCCCCTGGCCCCTGGCCCCTCGCACCCCTTTTCAGGGCTGGGTGCTGCGCTGCAGAGATCATGGCAGTGGGTGGGCACCTCCGGGCTCTGGTCACTTGTTGATTTTCAGAGGAATCAGCTCAGGGAGACAAATAGCATCTTAAAGTCAGGATGGAAAACTGCCACCTTAAAGTCCAGTCAGAGGTGGGGAGGGTCGCACTCCCCGCTGGGACCCCGCAGGGCCAGTGGACCTGCTGACACTCGTCTTGTCCCTTTGCTCTGGTCGAGCTCGTGGGAAACTGCTTCTCTTGCTCTCGTGTTCAGTTTATGACCTTTGGTAGCACATCTTTAGGTCACAAATGTTCTGTGTCTCCTCTTTGATGCTCTACTGTCTCCTCTGGATGACGGTGCAGCCTTGCTTTTGGCGGCACCGTTTGGGAACAGGGCCCCGAGGACTTGGAAGTAAGCAGTGACACAGTGCACCGTGAGCAATGCATGTTCTTGTCTGAAGTGGAAAAATCTGTGACTCACTCCAGAGCCTCATGGCTTGTGATCGCAAGGACTAGTGTGTCACACTTGTCAATGACACATGCAGTGTCTGGCTTGAATCAAAAGCTGTGCAGTGTCTATTTCCGAGGCGTGCAGCGCGGAGCCGGCGCAGGTGGCAGCAGGTGGCGCTCGCGTCGCCGCGGCGGTGCCGCTGAAGCCGTGGTCTGTGCAGCAAGCCTAGGCTTGGCCTTCAGTGAACTTGAAGAGCGGGGTGTGAATTTTGAAAAGTGGTTTTAAGTTCTCGAGAGGAAGAATGCCCGCAGGCAGGGAAGGAGAGTGCAGAAAGGGTCGGCTTAATGAAGCAGGTGAAATGATGCTCATTCTAGGCCTTGCTGCCTGGGGCCCCAGCAACTCATTTTGCTTTTTTCCTGCCTCACCCGTATCCTCAGTGGTTCCGGGGACCTCAGTCCTCTTTTCTCCCTCCAAAAGCCACTGGGTGTGCTTCCTGCCTCACCTTGTCCGAGGCTAAATGTTCCCTAACCCTTCCCCCACCCTCTCCAGGTACTGCCTAAGCTCCCAGGCCCCGGCGGGGCTGACCCCAGACTATCACTGGGAAGCAGTCCAGCAGGACCCCATTTGCGCTGAGATGAGAATGGTTGCCGCCCCCTTTACCCACGCAGAAGTACAGACATATGCTCTTTAAAAGAGCGTTCCGGCAACCTCGGGAATCTCTCAGTGGCGGAACATTAGACAGTGTGACAAGATCAGGGATGCCAAGCTGTTGGGAAAGATGTTTGAGGGAGCCCAGTGCCAACTGCCTAATTCATTCCCAATAAGTTTGGGAAATAAGGCATCTAATTAGTATATGTTTCTCTGAACTAGGAATTCTGGGTCTTGCAGAAGTTATGAAATCTTGACATTATTTATTTGATTTCCCAGCAACCTCTTAGCTACCTTCTAAAGTGCCATATGGCTTATGTGCGATGTTTTTAAATACATAACATGAATCGAAGTGAATTAAAATAAATTCCATGTTGTGAGGGGTCTTAATAAGAATACTGATATAGGCCTGAGGTGATGGCAGGTGCCCCGAAGCATTTTCTAAGATAGGATTGCGACGCCCTGATACAGGTGGCAAGTGAAAATAAAAATAAGTGAGGAAGGAATTCTGCTTCTTCAGGTAAAGATATGGTGAATCTAGGAATTCTGAAATCTGTTCCCAGAGTGGGGAATTAAAGGAGGGCTGAGGTCCACTGAACACCCCTAAGCTACTGCCAGGCCGCTCATCCTGGTCTCTGCCACAGCCCTGCCCCGGGGACATGTGGCAGAAGACGGCGGGCCAGTAGCTTGCCCGAGGTCACATCGCAAACCATGGTGAGGACCTGCCTTTTCCATTATGCCGTGCTGCTGCTTCGGTGGGCTTGCTAATTTAAAATTTAAAATGTTTTCATTTTGAAATTTAAAATATGATAATGTAGAGATCAGAATTGTCACTGAAATCACAGACTTAAAGAACTGTCTGAAACTCTCAAGAGTTCTCTTCGCTCAAGCGTCGCCGTCCTCGTCTGTCAGCTGGGCTGCCGTGGCAAGTGCTGTAGACCGGGGCTTAAGCAGGAGACATTTCTTCCTCACAGTTCTCGAGTCGGGGAGATCCATGAGCAAGGTGCTGACCAGTTCTGCCCCCCGGAGAGTGACCCTTCCTGACTTGCACCAGGCGCCTTCTTGCTGTGGCCCCACCTGGTGGAGAGAGCGAGCTCGGGCATCCCTTCCTCCTCTTATATGGCACCAGCCCTACTGGCTTAGGGCCCCAGCCTAGGACCTCGTTTAACCTTCATTACCTCCTAGAAGACCTGACTCCAAATACAGTCACATTGGGGATTAGGGCTTTAACCTATGAATTTGGGGTGAAGGGGGGATTCAGTCCATAGCATTCTTCAACCAAAGAAAAGAACATCTGAAACCTGTAAAGGCTGCCTAGTGATGATAAGAAGCCTCCTCTCACCCGAACAGTTGCCCCGTCTCTGTGAAAAGAGCCGCAATGGGTAAGACATAGGAAACCTCAACCATATTCATGCTAGTGATCCGGCAGTACCTGTAGACCAGCCCCCAGGTCCCTGTCCCCGTACTCAGCTCCCTGTAGACAGAACCTGATGCCCAGCCTTGGCATACCTAACGTCTCTGCCCCCAGGAAGCCATTCCGAATCACCCCAACGTGGATTGCCTCTCCCTGTGCTTCCAGACCCCGTGCAGAACTCCGTCCCAGGACCTCGTGAACCCCAGCCACCCGTTTATCCTGCCTCTCTGCACCCTTTGTGCTGACATCCTGGAGGGCAGGCTGTGCCTTGCTCTCCCCGCTCCCCAAGGCCTAGTATAACCCTGAGCGCGCAGCGGTGTCCAGGACACGTTTGCAGAACAGTGGATGGATGTGAAGACCCAAAGATGGGACAGATGAAGTGAGAGAGGGAGGAAGGGCAGGGGAGAGGAAAACTTCAGAGGTCTTTTAAAATTTCCTGGTGATTAATTGACCTTTCGATCCATTTTATGGAGCAGTCTAAAAATTTAACTTTTTTTTTTTTTTTACTCTCTGGATCTCAAAATTGTTCCATTTTTATCTTGTTATCTTATTCCAAAGGTCTTTTTGGATTTACACCAGTAACTGTTATTGAACTTTCTGGCCTTGGCCAGAAAGGACCTGGGCCAATCCAATGCATGTGTGTATTAACATTCCCAGACCACCTTGGGGAAATCCAGAAGCATAATAAATGTCCCAATGCCTGATGGGCCTCCTTTGTTTCTTAAATCAGCAGTTTATTCTAAGCATAAACTATGTGCCAGGCTCTGTGGTGGGCACCAGGGATCAGCAGCTAAATTAGGAGCCTCTGCTCTCTAGAGGTTCCCATGACAGGGGGGCAAACAGCCCATAAACACAGTTCACAGCCCTGTGCAGCGTGTGCTAGGGCAGAAGGCAGGGCCAGGCTGGGGGTCCTGGCATGGGCCTGGAGAGAGGCCTGGAAAGGAGAGGCCTGGAGAGGCCAGGGCAGGCAGCACCAAAGGAGTGTGGAGGGCTGGTGGAGCCAGGCTGCCAGGCCGGCAGAGAGCTGAGCAGGAGCCCCGTCTTCAGGGAGCCCTCAGCGTTCGGGTGGCAGGGCTTAGGGATGGGGCAGGAAGGGTAAAGTTGGGCATGTGTTAGGACCCAAGTTTGGAGGAGCAGATGGAATTCAATCCCAAGAAGTTTTTTATATCATGCTATTGAGTTGGTACTTTATCCCCAAACTAATTGGCCACCATTGAGGCATTTTTATATATAAAGAGAACTGAGGATTTTAAGGATGGGTAAATGTGAAGAAGGCTGGTATGATATTGCATAAAACGTATCAAATTTAAGCAAATGTAACTCAGGTCAAGTCATTCAATAGGACCAGTGGCAGGGACTGCACAGGAACCAGGGTCCCCCCTTCCTCTCTCCACAGCCAGGATGCCGCTCGTGGGTGCTGAACGCAGAGCACGCCAGGCAGGATGGTCTCCACATAGCTCTTCAGAGTTGCGCACAGAGTGCGACAGTTGCCACAGGAGCGGGGCGCTTGCAGCAGCCCGGCCCCTCAGTCCCACATCTAGGATGGCCTCTGCTAGGGTGGGTGGACTGCCAGGCCAATCCATCAGCAGGCCGCTCCAGCAAATGCCCCTGACAATCAGTGCACCTCACTGGAGGGATCATAATGATGAGGAGAATGGCATTTTAATGGGGTTTTTACTTATGATCTGCTAATGCAAACCCCGGGAGCCTGTTGTGAATCATGTGCAAGCCCAGATGAGAGCCGAGCAGAATGCCCAGCTGCCAGCTCGCCCAGGAGAGGTTATTAATTTGCAGCCCCTCCCGGCTCTCATATTATTTGGATGTGGTGGACTCGGTGTCGCGAATTCTAATGATCTCCCCTTTGGACCTGTTGGTGCTTGGAGGGAAGCTGGCTGGTGTGTCACAGCACGTTTCCGTGATTGGGAGACACAGCTTGAGTGACAGTCTCAACTGACCAGCCCGAGGACAGGTGCCCCCAGTTCATAGGAGGAAAAAGTACACATCTCTGATCTGAAGAATCGCAGTGAGCACAAGATGCAGAAGTGGGGTTCCTTCTGTTGGCCACTGCCTTCTCGGCACCAGAACTTGTAACCGGCCCCGGGGCGAGGGGAGCAGGACAGAAGCCTGCCTTGGGGGAGCTCCCAGCCCTGCCCAGGTGACGGACCGGGCAGAACACCCTCCCGCAGGAGTGCCCACTCCAGTGCGTACGGGCAGGAGAAGCAACCACAGGGAGTGAAGGGGTCTCGCTGGGCGAAGGCTGGTCCTCGCTGGAGCCACCGCGCAGCTCCAGGCCCGGTGCTGCGCCCCCAACTGTTCGGAAGTGAAATTTTTATGTGAAATCTCCCAATTTGTAATCTCACGGAAAAACATACGTCATCAGACCAAACAAATGTGCTGCAGTATAGCTTTATACTCTGACCTGGCAGAATAAAAAAAGACTTATTTTGAGAT